ATAGATAGATAGATAGATAGATAGATAGATAGATAGATAGATAGATAGATAGATAGATAGATAGATAGATAGATAGATAGATAGATGGATGAAAGTACAGATCTATGGTAATAGACAAATTATTCAAAGAGGAATTGATTAGAGATTTGAAAAGGAATGCAGAGGAATATACAACAAATTTTGATAAACAAAGGAACCAAAATAATGAACTAAAAATGTAGTTCACAGACTACAGGGGAACTATAAAATCTGAAAGACAAAAGAAGCTAAAAAAAAAAAAGCTATAAGGAAAATAACTATTGGTTATTGGTTCTTAATGAGATAACATGTCGTATCAGCTTTGCAATAGTAAAGAGAACTGCTGAATATGGGACATGACAAAATTATGTTACAATAATTTTCATCAAAATTAAAGAGTTTAATCTCCTTTTCTGAATATATAAGCCTAACTCTGTAGCATTCAGAGCGGAACTACATCTGCAATATTATGCTAATTATTGTGTAATTATTAATGACAATCAAGACATGTTTCCATTTAGAAGACGTTGACAGAACAACATTTTCTTTTTAAGTTTTAACTTAATTTGAATTTAAATCTAAAATAGGTTCAAAACTTTCCTTTTACATGTAATAGTAGAGAACTTTTAGATCGTTGTCTTCAACTTTAATTGCAATGGCCACAATTAAAGCTTGTGATAGGATGATGTTGTCTCATCCACAGCCTTATTGTTTTACTATTTTGACTTTCATTGAATTTTGAACTTCCTGATTATGTCCTCAAGGTTCTGTCTTATTTGGTGGATTTGTGTATTAGTTGCTTGGTTCATTCTTCTGTTCTTTGTGTGTTTACATTGTTCTCCATTAGATTTTTGTCTGGGGATTCATGTTTCTTTTTTCACCTCCTGCCATGTCAATGTCAGGTTGTGTGGAGGTTTTTATAGGACCCAAATGCAGAGATGGAAGCTGAGGTGGTCTCTTGCAGATTTAATGACGAGTAGTGGCCAAACAAGCATAAATTCAAAAAATAACTGATCAAGGAACACATGGATTAAGGAGGGAATGAAGAGAATCAGGCAAACAACAACTGCAGAGGAGGAATATAAATGCCAAACATAACAAATAATGGAGTAATCAGCTGATTGGGAGCAGGTGTGGACAATAGGATCTAGAGGGGAGCTAAGGGGGGAGGAGACTGACACAAGGGGGCAACAGAGTGTAAACAAGAAGTATGTAAGAACTCATATACAATCAGAAAACAACTAGAATGAAATGAAATAATAAATTATTTTCTCATTGATTTATTTTTTTTCCAGGCATGTTTTTTTGTTTTGCTCCATTATCTAAGAAATAAAACTTGATCTTGATTATGCTCAACCCATGATCCTATCTGTGCTTTTGTCTTTTTCAAAGCTCACACATCATAATACTTTCATAGTTTATTGTTTTTTTCTTTTCTTTTTCTTTTTTTTTTATCTTTTTATACAGTCTGCGTCCCAACCAATTATCCCAAGTTTAAAATGGGAAATAAGTATATATTTACTTTTTGGGTTATTTATGAAAACCTGTTTATGAAACCTAAATGTCATAGAAATATTTCCTTTTTTCTTTTTTTAGAGCATTATAATAAAAAATCTTCAATTTTTTGTCTTTCATTGAAGGAAGGGTTTTTGGACAGGTTAATCCCAGTTAGTCTAATACTAGAAACACCCTATTACTCCAGGATAACTTCGCCCACGTCTGAGTTTTGTTGCTAAACATTCGTAGTCTCCACACTTTTTTTTTCAACTTCATAACAAGACAATTGACACCAGTCTAAGCAGAGATGAAGATGACTCTGGATCTAATAATTTCATCTAATCGCCATTTAATACTTCAAAATGAAATGCCAAAACAGGCTCAGAACCTGCAATGTTGATGTTTGGCTAAAAAAAATGCCAAAGTGCACTTCTTAAAAAAAAAAAATAAGAAGAAGAAAGTGTCCCCCTTTAGCATGAACCCAACTACTTTTTGCAAGCAGAGTAAATAAACTAATTTCACAAAGTTTATAATTAGAAGACTTATCTTTCATGAAGATAAAGCTAATAATGAATGAAACGTCTTCATGAATTAATTCTTCAACCTAATTATATGGATCAGTGAAATGCTAAACAAATTTAAAAATCTAAACTTTCAGTGTAAGCAAAAACATGAAAAGTGAGTAATTAACCATCCACGGAGCTGTTTTTTTCTCTTTTGTTAGGTCCACATTGAGAACCTTCTGGATGCTAAATATGGAATTTATAGACGTTGCTTTGTCTGATGTATTAATATTGATTGCAAACACAGTTCCCTGACACTTTAACAAAAATTGTTGGGGAAAAAAAAATCCCACAGATTCAGAGATTTTAGTACATTTTACTCGCATTCATTCTTAGTTGATTCCATCACCAAGCAGGGCTGTATGAATATGACATGTAGAATATGACATGTAGAAAGGAAACACAGGTATTCAAGGGTCTTGCAGGTACCTGAGAGCCATTTTAAAGATGAGCCTTTTAATTTTCGCCTCTCATCTGAGGCCTGTGCTTCGATATGCCTTTTTAACCAGGCTCCTTTGTTGAGCCATAACATTACTTGCCAACAGCCCCCTGCACCTCCTTCAGCAAACCCGCTGCCGTTTGGAATAACAGATGAATAAATGGATGAGGGGGGAAAAAACAGTAGAGTGAAACCACAGTGGAACTCAGCAATGGTCAGCCAGGCCCACCACGCCTCAGCAAATGTTTGTCCAAACCTGTTATTTCTGGCATTGTACTGTCTCAAAGAGATCATTTCATTCTCCATAAGGAATGCGGCGGGCTATAAATAGCCTGTAGATGAAGGAGGGGAAATCAGAGATTTGTAGACTAATTACAGAGCTGGAGTTGAACCCTTCTGTTATGGTTCATTTTTCATCAACCTCTGTCTCCATGTCTGTCTGACTGACTGACCAACAGTGGCAAACTGGACATTTTCTCAAAGGGACAGAAACATCCCATCCGATTTCTGATCTGTCTGACTGACTGACCAACAGTGGCAAACTGGACATTTTCTCAAAGGGACAGAAACATCCCATCCGATTTCTGATATCTTCTCTGAGCCGATCGAATCATAAAAATCTAATAATCAAGCAAACAGCTTTTAAACTAATAATCTTCTGAAATGAAACAATAAAAGGATGTAAATGAAGGCATGTATGACACACCCTTCTCAGTTTGCTGTGACACATTCACCCTCCAGTGGGGAAAAACTGAAGGTTGCTGACAAGCAGAGATTGAGTCCAAATGAGGGCAGCAGTGGTGGGAAACGGTACTGTCAGACTAGAAAAACTAGTAAAGCAGTATTATTAGCAGGATTGTGCTGATGCTTTGTGCTGTGAGTTAATTATTGGCATTGCTATGTTAAAACATGGTCATTTTCTGGCTGATGCAAAGAATCTTTGATGGTTTTTGTGCACTTTCTCGAGGGGGAAAAAAAGGAAAAAGGTTATAGCCTGGAGTTTAAATCAGTTTTTGTTATTTTTTGGTTAACATTTTTATTAAAAATCAGAGAAGTCTAAGATCCAGGGGATTTTTTCTAGTTCTCAGGAAATATTCAAAGCAATAATTTTATATTATGAAGCATGTAAGCGTATTATGATATATTTTCTCTTATTAAAGTCGTATTATCAAACATTTAACAATAAGAGGACACAATACTGACCCTTTTTAAACTTTACTGAAACCAGTTATTAAAAAAAAAAAACACACACACACACACTGAGAATGATTTAAATGACTGTGGAGATGTCGCCCCCTTGTGGATTAAGGAAGAACTGTTTACAGCAAAGTTAGCTATATGCCTGGGATGAATATAATTTGTAGATATTGGTGCTTTTTATTATAGTAACAACAAAAAAGGTGATAAAAAAAATGCCTTTTATGAGCGTTTTTTCGCATGAATTGGGGGGATTTTGTATATCTGTGTTCCTATTTGTATCTAAATAGAACTGAGCAGTTTTTAATTTTTAATTTTATTGTTTCTGATAATTCTAAGTAAAAAGTGCCTGCAGTTTTCAGCTACAAGTTATGTTCACATTCCACAATAATCTTTGATAACCTTTAGGGGTCTGTCCCCTGAAGGCTTGCAGAGAAATTTCAGTCTCCTTAGTGCAAATATCAGGAATCTTTTACAAAAGGTGATCGACATCCTTTATAGCTTTTAAGGAAGTCCCCCTAGTAGCTAATAAAAATTATTTTATAAAACTTGTAATAACCGCTAGAATCTCCAAGATATATTTATGTTTTTTTTGTTTGTTTTTTTATTCATCATTGTCTTTGAATTAAAAGAAAAAAGTGATACAGACTGATAAATCCTTTAAATAATAATAAATATATAATACATATTTAATTCTAGATTTTTGTAAATATAGATTTCATAAACAACCATGATTGTTTTATAGAAGATCCAATTACATAATTGTGCATACTGTAATATAATATATATATATATATATATATATATATATATATATATATATATATATATATATATATATATATATATAGTCAAGTTCTTTAAAGGATATCTAGAACTTTCATACATTTAGGAACTTTTCAGATAATTTAAACAGAAAATCCTTCTTAAATCCTACATAAAAGCTTATAACAACTTTACAAACACTCTATAAATTCCTTTGCTTCTCCTGTTTTAACGGTAACAATAATAAAGTATTGTTTCCAGGGTTACGCTGAGGTTCCATGGTTACTTCCTGATGAAGGTCATAGCTCAGGGGTCACCGGCAGATTTCGGAGCGGCAGATGAACAAAGCAGGGCAGTAAAACCTCAGCAGGCCGGCTTTTAACTCAAAATTCTGGTCCGAACAAATTTTAAGGAAGCAGAAATTATTTAATTGAGTGCGGGTATGGAGGTGGAAAATCAAAATTCGGTAGGTAAAAATTTCCTCGCTAAGTAGCTAACTGTTCAACTAGCTAGCAGTTGAAAACTTGTAAACGTTTGTGACGTTGGGTTTTTAAGATTGGGAGTTATAAACGTTACTTTCTGCTGTAATTATGCTGTAATTACCCTTTCAATCCATTTTATTTTCCAAAGTGAAGTTTAAACGTTTTTTTTTTATTTATTGTTTTTTTTTAAGTGCTAGCTTGTTTTTCAAGTGCTAGCTTGCTATCTCGGTCAAGCTAACGCGCAATATGCTTATTAAAAGAGTCTATACATTTAGCATTTAAAAAAAGTTATTTCATTGTAATAATATATAAAATACATTTTTTTTTGCTAATTTTTTATGTGATAAAAATCATCAAGTTTAAATTATGAAGTTTGTAACTGATGTGTTGCATGTAAACATTCCACCCATAAAGGATATTGCACTGTAATCCAGAAATGAAACTTTGCAAAAACATCTTAAGTGCTTAGGAGGATTTTCCCTTTTTTTTTTTTTTTTTTAAAGACGCGCCCTCTTCAATAAAAAAAAAATAAATGCACATGGACAACCCTGTACCCATAGGGAAGGCCTAATAAACGTGCGCTTCCACGAGCCCATTTCTCCTCGTGCGCGCTTTGTTTACAAGTTGCTGTTGCATCACTGGCTTTATTTATTCACTGGATAACTGAAAGGCCGTTATCAGCAATCCACCAGCCGCCATATTGGTACTCCCTAGTAAGACCAGTTGGCATGTGAACAGTATGTACAGCATCGAACAATGATGATGTTCTCATTTTCAGGGGGGCTTAAGACTTTTAAAATAAAGATAAATTCAACACTTTGACACACACTTGCTGTTACATAGCATCAGTAGATTACTGTAATTTATGGTTAAAAAAAATAAGCACATCACATTGCATAGTTTGTATGAAGTCTATAAATCATGTAATATAACATATACAAATCCATCACAGCAAAATTAGTGTGTTAATAGAGCATAATAATACTGTAGTCAAATATTAAGAATATTACGCACACACACACTATCTGATGTTGTGCAAAAAGTGCTAAATTGATGATGTACATGTAATATACATGTACTGATTCCATTGTTATGGTAATTACATTACACTCTGTGAGAGTGTAGAGTACCAAGATGGCGGCAGGTGACTTCAGTTTTTTCAGCAAGCCAGTGAATAAATAGAGATCAGTGGTTTGCATCGCTCATACGAGCTTACTTTCCAAAAGAAGAAAGGCGATCTTCAATGACTGGCTGAAACCGGTGCTCACCACACATATACACCTGCAAGTGTGCAGCAAAAGGATGGCCTTAGGTATATCACCAGAATCATTGACGATTATTATTATTTTTGATGATTCACCTGGAAAAAAGAACATCCTCCACTATACATTTTATTAAAAAATACTTTGAGAATAACTTTTTAGATTGAGTTTTATATATTACATTTTTATTGTGGTTTAAAGATCAAAACTTCCTTTTTTAAAATTTAAACACAATAAAGATGCCCACTCTTGACATGCATGCACCTTGACCAATCAAAATATTGTTGCTAAGATCCATGGTGACCACTAAAAATACATCATCGTTCCTTGCTCAATAGGAAAGCCCACCTAATGTGATTTACCAAACCCAGATGGAAAAGAATACAATACATAAAACTTTCTTGAAAACAGAAATTTAAACAAAAAAAAGGTAAATCTGAAAAAAAAAGTTTAGTTTAATCAAATAAAATGTCATAAGTAAATGGGAAAAAAAATCAAAACCTTTTTTTGACTAAGAGGTTTTTCAAAGTTTCATTTTGTGATTCTCTTTTAGTCAAATTTCCTTTTTGCAAGATATGTTCTTTGTTTACAACAATAATGGCACAAAATTGATATATATTTGACCAAATACAGTCTATATAGAGAGAAATATAGATATATATTTTAGGAAAAAAGCAAAAATGTTTTATTATACCACCTTGAACTTTTTGTTAAAGCCTCCCCATCAAAGATTATCTATATTTATTTAAATAATAACTGTCCCTTTATTAAAACCAGGTTCTAATCAGACGCTAGCTTCAATGTTTTATAAAATAGGTATTTAGTCTGATAATATATATCTGGTTTTAAACTACATCTTAATGAGATGGAGGTTTTTGTTCTTAGTTTTAAAAAAAGATTCATTTTTTTCATACTGTTTTATTAATTGGACTTTACTAAGTTTAAAAGAGTGTTTAAAGGATACCTGCTTTATGTTATTTACTGATTTCAATAATCTGACTTATTGTTGCTTTTAAAGCTTGCATCCAGTGATTCGTTGCATGATGACAGCAGCTCTTCTTCAGAAGCCTTAATCCAAGAGAGCCCTCTGGAGAGGTTTACTTACCTCTCACCCATCCCCTGCACCATCATTCCCAATCGGATTTTTGTCGGGAGAATGGACCACAGGGTGAGATTTTTAAAGATGTCCCACTGTATGTTTTAAATGTAGGTTGGATTTCAGCTAAATATGTCAATATATCCTGTGTAAATGAATGTCGTTTTGTGTTTTAAGGTCAATGAAAGCAACCTGCATCAGATTTTCTTCAAATACGGTGCGGTGAAAGATGTTAAGATAGTGAAAGATGGCTTGGGAATCTCTAAAAGGTTACTAACTAACATCCTTTTTTTTTTTTTTTTTTCATTTGAGCGTAGTTTAAAGTAGTTTGCTGTTTAAATCCCAAACTTCCAACTGTTTATTTGAACAGATACGGGTTTGTTACCTTTGAAACCCAAGAAGATGTGTTGCGAATCCTCAATAATGTAAGTAGAGTGGCCTATCTGCAGTGCACGCGTCGCAGGCTGCGTTTCTGAGTTTAATCTTGTTTCTCCTGCTTCATCAAAAGGCTAACGGAATCTGTTTCAATGGAAGGAAGCTCTGCATTAGCCAGGCGTATAGAAAGTTTCGCGTTTCAGGACAAGGTATGCTGAGCTGTGGCCTTTGATTTGTTTATTTATTTGTTTTACTTTTCATTTCCGATATTTTTCTCTTTCCCCAAGCTAACAGCGGCTACACGGCTCACCATGAACGCGCCGATCCTCATCAGATGTCCTGTGGGACTTTTTATCTGACCCCATTCACAGGACAGCCCTACACCTACTATAAGGGCGTGGCCTATTTCCACTGCCCCAGCATGAACCCCTCGGCTAATGATTGGTCGGTAAGTACCTGCCGGTATTCTGATTGATTGGAATTATTTACTGTTGTTTTGCAAACTAAATAATAATCCTTCAGCTTTTTAAAATGTTCATTTTTCAACCAAAAGGTTAAACGTATGTTAAACCTTTACACCATTTTTGATAAAATGGTGTAAAGTTCAGCAGCTGTATAAAGACACACGGTAACGACTTGGTGGAAGATGTTTGTTACAATATGGCGACCCAAGGAAGCAATACAGCTGATATCGCTTCTACAAGACTATCACCCAGAGCTATCTGCTAATTTCATGGAAAAGTTTATGTTGTGTTGAAATAAACAAGAAACCTTTAGTGTCAGGCATTAGTGAAAGAAATAACCCCGGTGTTACTGAGGCATAAAGCTTGGATACAAATGTGTGTTTGATTAGTTTTAAATGAAAATTGAAAATATAGAATTCCTTTTTAAAAATGTAGACGTGCACTTTGTGTACGCTTGTTCACACTTGTAATTTCCGTAGCTGTTATGTGCCTGTAACGATTTCTACAACTGCTGAAAATTATAATTATGAGTGTGCGCCAAAGATGACGAAATTATTTCGTTGACGGTCCTTTTTTTCATGAAGATAATGAGAACTGACGAGCTAAACACGGATCTTTGTTGACGAAAAGATGACAAACCATAGGTGTGGAGTATAGAAACTCTAAAACAGAGGTCACGGATTAGCAAACCGGATCCACCAGCTAGCTAATCTGGACCAAACCTGATTTAAAACATTTATAAATTACTGCATGTTGACCGACTACAATTTCTAACTTCACTTGCGCCGCTTCTCCTGTTAACATGGTAAAGCACTCCGGAGGGTCTGGGACAAAGCTACACTTAATACAGATTAGCCAATGAACTGTGTCAGTCTGGGTTGCTGCTGCTAGCTACATTTAGACACAGAAGGCAAACCAGTGGCAAGCTGGGCAATGGGAAAGAAGGAGAAAATTATGAGGAAAAGAGAGCAGAGAAAATGTAGAATGGCTTTGTCGACATTCAAACCTAGGTTTAAAGCCTTACAGTGCAGCCTAAAGCCCACTGCTCTACTTAAGCCATAAAAAAAGAAAGACACAACAAACAAATGGTCAGTTTAGTTGTTTTGTGAAACAGGAATTTTTTTTTTATTATATATAAAATGGAAAAATATTCAATTTTTTAAATATTTGTTATTTACAAAGTGAATCTAAAACATCGACGCATGAACACCTAATTTTATTCTAGTTTAAAGTAAAAGATTATAATTAAAAATGCCTCCAGACCTTTACTGGTTGTTCCGAAGCATACCTTTAGCTGAACGAGCAACCCAATCAGAGTAGTAATTATACCACAATTGTAAAAAAAAAAAATTTAACATTTTTTATTTAAGGCAAAAGAACATTTTCTTCCGTCAATATGCTCTACCCAGGATGCCTCAAGGGTAAAAGTTTCAGTTTCACTAGGTTCGCTTAGTTTTACTTTGATTTCGTTAAAGAAAAAAGTCTTCTTTATGGAACATTTGGCTATCTGATTATTAATTTATTAATTGAAAAAATAATCAACAAAATAATTGATTTGCAAAATAATTGTTAGTTGCAGCCCTTATACATAGATCTTTAAGCATTTCTCTCATAGTCCTTATTTCTATCTGCTCAAATACGATGCAAATGTTTCCTTGTATTGTCATTAAAAGATTTTCTCTGTTAACTTTGAATATTTCAACATTTTGGTCTGGATTGGCATGGCATTACAAGGCAATTATGAAGGTTCTCTCTGTATAGTTTCATGTCAGACCCCTATGAATTTAAATCTAGTTTGACCTCTGAGCAGCTTTAACAAAGGGAATATTTTTTAGAAATAAATAAATGAATCAAAGTTGAACTGAAAACTTAAACAGAACCAAAAAGTGCAGAATCATGACACCAGCAATTGTAGTATTTAGGCCAGAGCGTTCAGTCTGGGAAAGAATCTGGTTGTTATTCGAAATTGTAAAAGTTAATCTTTTTATAAAGTGCAACATAAAACAGACTAAACTAGAGTAAAACCTTTTAAGTTTTAATCGACTACAACTAGATTAAAACTATCGCATATCGTAAGGACTAAAATATGACTAAAAACAATAATGGTTTTCAACCTGAAGACAAAAACTGAGACCAAAATCCAAGATGGCTGTCAAAAACAACACTGATTAGATCAGCCCACAATTCAGCAAGCAGTTTTTTTTCTTTTTTTTCAGATATGTCCAATGTGGAGCAGTAATCATTGTACTATGAAACCGTAACATTTTTAGCTTAAAGTTGCCTTCATACTGGCTAATGCCTACTTACCATCATGTTTCCTTGCTGCATGGTAATTTATGGAAAGTATATGAAAGTGATTTTTTCTTTTTTGCAGCCGACTTCTCAGCTGATGCTGCCTCCGTCCCACCAGCCCTTCCACCCCCTGCAGCCGCCCGTCTATCTCCACTGCCAGGTTGTGATTTAACTTAATGAATTAAATGTCATTGATTTATCAGGATAACATTTTATTTCTTTCCTTTTCTTTTTTGTGTACCCGCTTCCACAGGATGCCCCTAACCAGTATCAGTGGAATATTGGTCAGGTTTGTGAAACCTCTTTTTTTATTTCTGTTTTGTTTTTGTTTTTCATCCATGTCACTATTTGTTGACCCTTTTCTTATGGTTTTCATCCAGGTGCCAGCACCTTTCGGTGCACCGATGTACCAACAGCAGCCAGAATATCTTTACCAGCCTTTTGACGGGAGCTGTTACCTGCCTCCTGGGCCCGCCATGGAAGGCAGTACCCCGGAGGTACAGGTTATTGAAGAGAAAGCAATGTTACACTCAGTTCATTATAGATAAACTTGTGCCTGTCTTTTGTTAATATGTTATAAGACTAATATATCCGTCTGTTTTCAGTTTTTTGAGCTGACGGCGCCACATTTCTACTCAGGAATGACACCCATTCCTCTGCAGCCTAACCCTAGAGAGGTGAACAGCTTTATTACTTTGACAAATGCTTTCAAGGTGTGATGCAGATAATGAATAGAGAACCTACAGACAATGATGTTAAAACTTAAAACTTCCTGGAACTCTGTCTTCCTTTTCTTCTCTGAACCGTTTTCTGCGCTTTACCTCCACAGAACCAGCCGTTCTCCCCTTCATGTGTCCACCGGAAGCCAAAGTACCGACGCCACATGCACCCCAAATACTACTACCACCTGCCCCAGCCCACAGAGACGCCTGCTACTTCCGTATTTCCTGTCCCAGCTCCTCATGTAGGATAAAGACTTGAAACGTTCACCCTCTCAGGCAGATCAACCCCACATTACTCACTGGGATTTCAGCTCCATCCTGCTTCTTTTTCTATAAGCTCATATTTGCAGCAAAACTGTCATTTGATGACATTTCTTTTTTTCTCTCCGCTAAGCCTGCTTTTAATCTACACATTGGGGTCAAAGTTTACAGAATTCATGTCACTAGAAGATCTTTTATGTGAGGAACAAACACTGCAATAGTGGTTCATCCTGACGCCTTTTCATGTTTCATGGCAGAGTTGAAACATCTGCTTTAAAGTGCACTAAGCTTTTCTCTTTTTGGATATCCCATCAGTGTATCCATGGTTGAATGTAGAGAGGAGACGCTTTACCCAATTCATGTTTTATGTCCTTGGAGCCTTGAACGCATACTTCAGAGTTTTAGGACGTTTATTTGTTGGGTTTTTCAGGGATTGGCTCTCCATATTGATTCTTTAAGCAGGGTTCCTATGCAATTTAATATCATGGAGCTGTTTTTCCAGGATGGAACATAGAGGAAAAATCCTAATTCCTACTTCTAACCTCTACGTTTTATCTGAGTTCCTCCAAACAAACATAAATGCCCCCAATCAACCTGTTTTGGAGATTTTAAACAATAAGGTTCATTTATCCCTGCATCCATCCACCTATCATCTATCCACCATTTATGACATCATTAGAGCCCAGTGTAGGAGCCATGCTTAAAGGATTGCTTTAGTACCTGATGACCATGGAGGAAACAAGAGAAAGAAAAAGGAAAAAGCAACATGATAGTAGCTCGATAGGACCAAATGATGACTGTTGGTCCGTTGACTTCGAAAGAAAAATTACTGCTGAGAAATGTTTTTAAGCTCTCAGGAAATAATCACTCCTTTTCTACCTAGCAGTGTGGTGTAGTTCTGTTTTTCATGTACAGAGCCAGGATTTATCCGGTGAGCAAACCCCAGTAGACACATTTTAAAAGAGCAAAAGGAACAAACAAATAAAGCTTTAGTTCTTATTCCTGTTAGTTTTAGGGTTATAAAAAAAAAAAAAAGATGCTCTGTTTGTTTTCTCCAGTAGTTTAGTTTTTCATGTTTAAGCTATTGTTTTTTTTTCTTCCTATTCTAAAATTTAAAATAGCTTAAATTATTTTATGCTTATTTTCTCTTCAGATTCAACAGTATATTTGCTCTGAGAGGTTTTATTTTGTAAGGGATTTGAGATTTTAATTGGTGTAAGCTATTTTACAAACATTTCTATTGTTTTCACAGCACTGCTTTATATCTTATTGTATTTTTCTGTGCTTATCCTCAGAGGGAAGCCCAACTCTTTTTGTTTTGTGACACTGTTAAAACCTAACTGACAATCTTTTGTGTGAATGTTTCATATTGTAAAAGAGATGTACAACATATATTTGAGATGTAAGTAATTGGTATTTCTAATACCCTATATTTTAAAAAACAATTGTTTTCCTCTAAACATTGTTATAGTTCAATAAAGAGTGGTTTTCAGGAATATGCTGCTATATAAGTTGTAATTCTTTCATCTTAACTGGAGATGTAGAGTAAAGTTCTATTCTAATGCAAATCTGAGAAGACGCCAACAATGGGAACTGCTGATCGGTCACATAAAATAAAAGTTTGCTACATCAGAACTTATTTTGGAAGCATTTAATATTTCCTTTTAAATGCATTAACTACTTTTTTTGGAGGGGTGACAAAAAAAACAAGCGAGCTTAAAGACTTAATGGACACAGCTATTATGTAATCATTAAGAACACATGAACCTTCCAAAGAGTGGTCGACCTACTGTACCAAAGCTACTATTAAGAGTACATCAAAACTCATCCAAGAGGTGATGAAGGAATCATAGCAACATTTAAAAGCTTTCAGACAGGAGCTGCAACAGTGAGGGTCTGAGTTCATGATCTGACAATAAGGGTAAAAAAAAATGCATTAATGGGAGAGTTCCACCCTCATCCACAGTTGACAAAAAGACAATAAAGGTCTGTCTCACATCAGTTATAAAAATTTATACTCAAACGGAAATATCTCCTTCCTATTATATGTAAACTGTTGCAAATGATGGACATAACAATTATACATAATAGAAAAAATAATTTTTAGTCATCAGATCGCACTTCTGCATCACTCAAAAAAATTAGTATTAGTATTTTAGAAGGCATTTAGCCTTCTAAAGTTATCCTAAATACTATGAAATGAAATAAAAACAGCTTCCCTTTTTTTTTGCCTGAATGTACCTTAAATAAATATAAAATAAATGTCATTGTTAAAGCATTTGTGTGTGATAATAAGGTTGGTAATCTGCCAGCAGAGGCAGGGCAATGACGAATCAGGGTTTTATCTGTATGAATGAATCAAATACCTTGGCAGCGTAGCAAAAGCGCTTCATGCTCGGAATCACAACAACAAAAGACAGAGTCTCGTGACATTTGATTCCAGCTTCATAAAACAGATTTTTCTGGGACTCTCTGGCGTTTTACACAGCTTTACTCAAAAACAATTGCTGCAAATGTTCACTAAACATCAGTGAGGTCCCCAAAAAGCATGGATCCATAAGTGGGAAATACTGTCAGGCTACTGGCTTCTTTCAATCAGTTTATCATCTTTAAAATCAATTTAAAAGTAGAGCAAATTAGATTATTAAAAATTGTTCAAAACACAAGAATTAAAGAAACAGAACACATTTTTTATCCAAACATACTAAAGCATATGACAATGTAAAGACAAAGGTGGCATAAGCGGTGCTCAAAATTAGTATTTGACTTCTGGTCATACTACCCATTAGTACAGTAATTATAGTTGGAGTGCTATTGTGCGATTCACTTTACCTTTTTGTCACTTTGTTTCTCAATTATTCCCCCTATGTTCATGATAAGCCTACATTTTAGCTTTTGTAGCCATTGGGTTGTTAACAGTCATTAGTCTTGTCACTGCTCACAATAGTTAACAAAGTCCTTTCAAGCTCCAGCTTCTGAATGGATTTAAAGAGTTCTGTTAAAAAAAAAAAAAAAAAAGGTTGTCTGCTCCTCGTTTACTTCGTAAACATCTCAAGCGATACTTCTACCACACTTTGAACAGAAGTTGAGCTGTGGTTAGTCAGTGGGTGAGTTGAATTTTGGTTCTTCTTAATATGCTGTAAAGAAACTGCAACACATTTTTAAAATTATCTTCACCTTTTTAGCGATAATGTTCACTATAGAATCAATATATTGACTTTAGAGTCACTGATTAAAAGCAGCCAATCAGACATCAGGGTTTCTATGGAAGCAGCTCTAGTCCCGTTTCCTTGACTTTGATGGATGGGTGACAGTTCCTTTCATCCTTGGTGTGCTTCCACACTAAAACAAGACATTATTTTTCAAATCAAAAAATAATTATATTGACTTCTGAACATAAAATCTATATATTGCCAGGAATAGAACCCGGAACCTTCTTGCTGCAAGGCAACAGTGCTACACACTGGACCACCGTGCAGCCTAATTATTTATCATATATTTATTTATTTCCACTTTGAATACTTTATACCCATCATACAGCAATTTCTTTTGTAATCACTGGAAAGACGATAGAAACAAGTGCTACAAATAGAAACATGCAACACTATTGCTGACAACTACAAAACTAGAGATGATTAGCCCACATTTCTATTACTTTCTTTAGCTTTAAAAAATATCCCCAACACTCCTGTTGAAAACTACCAACACGATCACTATATTTTCTATCAGGTTTGGCAACTAAAGTCCAGATAGAATTAATCCAACTGGGGAAATATGTGGTAGGCCTGCATAGTCATAGTCTTAACAGTTGAAATATCTTACCTACCAAGCAATCTTTTGCAAGTGCAGGGCTCCAACCACTGACGATATTGTTGATTGTGATGTCATTTTATGGAGCTCTGATTTATGTTAATGCCTTTCCTTTTTAGGTCAATAACTTCTAGGTTCAGACTTCAGTATTCTCAAACCAGTGTTTTTTTGGTAGAATTTAACTGATCAATACCCTCTATTCCCCAAGAAAAGACCAAAACATATTTGTGGTTTTTAATGGTATGGATCTTAGGATCTGTACTGAGGTAAAGCAATCACTGGAAAAACAAGAAAGCTAACCACTGCTGTGGTTTTGACTCTGCTGAAACTGTGAAGGCTGGCCTTGGGGTAACCATTCTCCTGTTGTACTGTTAATCAATTGTGATGAACATGTGAAAACTGAACAACAAAAAGCCATCATCGCACTGCAGGGCAACGCTATACATAACCAGATTTGCGTTGTAAAACTAATTTGGATGACAATACTTTATGCTGTGCCATCACACACCTACTTTATATAAAAGGACAACGCTCCAGGGAGCATCTATTGAGCATCAGTCTGGACTCCACTAATATGACGATGGGCAAGGTGAGTTTATTGCATGTTGATGAAACAGAGAATAAGACATTTTCTTTGAAATATATTTTTATATAGCCAGAGTGAATCATTTTTGCAGATCGTATTCTACGAGGACAGAAATTTCCAGGGTCGCCACCATGAGTGCATGAGCGACTGCGCCGACTTGCACCCCTACTTCAACCGCTGCAATTCCATTAAAGTGGAGAGCGGCTGTTTCATGGTATACGACAGGCCCCACTACCTTGGCCATCAGTACTTCCTGCGTAGAGGGGAGTACTCCGACAACCAGCGCTTGATTGGCATCAATGACTGCATCCGCTCTTGCCGCATGATTCCCATGGTAAGACATCAATGGAAATTGATTCATGATCCATCTGTGTAGCCTGCAGAAAATAGACTCACAAGTCTTCCTTCTACAGCACCGTGGGTCCTACAAAATAAAGCTGTACGAGCGTCCAGACTTGGGCGGCCAGATGCACGAGATCAGTGACGACTGCCCCAACGTCCAGGACCGCCTACGGATGTCCGACATTAACTCGTGCAGCGTGGTCGACGGCCACTGGCTGCTGTACGACCAGCCAAACTACAAGGGAAGGACCTACTACCTGAGACCTGGCGAGTACCGCAGATACAGCGACTGGGGCGGTGCCAGCCCAAGGATCGGCTCTCTTAGGCGAATCACTGACTTCAACTGAGAAACTTGTTCCTCCATCTGTTCCTAATAAACAAGCTTGACCTAAACTGAGTATTTCCTTTTTTTAATGTCGTTCTTGAGCAGAAATTTCATAGTTTCAAGGGAAATAAGAGAACTTCAATTAGGATAATTTGCTTTGTTTACAGTATTTTTAACACTTTAAAATACACTTTCTCACGTTGTGATAACATCTGATCAATCCCACACTGGGAGTACAGAAGATACTGACACCCACAGTAATGAGGATGCTAACATACAGGAAGTAGCCAATCGTGTTGCAGCATCAAAATGGAATGGTAGACATTAGTTGCCTCTATTAGCTGGCATTAAGATTCTGGGAGTTCATAGACCATCATCTAATGAGATCCTTAGAGCAGCAAGAAAGATTTCTCTCATCATCTGCATCTACTGTGAAACAATGACTTTAGCTTATTTGGTCTTAACATTGGGATCATAAGGAAGGTCATTAAATCGTATTCGGCATTGGAAGTCTAGGTGGTCAAGGTAGTCCATGAAGGTGGGTCTTTCCTCACCAAAAATTAATTGTCAGAGTTTAAAAGGCTACTTTGGATCAAGTTAAGCACTTGCTTAATGTCTCGTTTTGGTGAAATGATAAAAAAAAAACTTAAAAAAAGACCCATCAAAACAAACATCTTCACTTTCCCCATCATGTTGGCTACATTTGGTCCTACTGTAGAGGTAGCCATGGGCTCTCTGCTACTTTTATAACCCACAAATGACCTGTAGCATTGTGATGCATGACACTGACTGGACTTGTCAGCTTTTTTTTAGACACCTTGTCCAACAAAGTATTTCTGCTTTGAACTAAATGTTTTCAACAATCGGGCTACCATAAAACTTAAAGCAATCTCCAAGGATTCAATTAGATTAACTAGAAAGGTGCAACTAAAAACTCATTCTCAGAATTGTAAATTTTTGTTTCGGACATCTTTAAAGCTGATGCTTTTTTTTTTTGACAATCTCTTTTTCTAAATTAATACATAGATAATGACCAATAACAGTTATAGAATTTCTACATTTTATTAGAACCATGTGGCATTCATCAGATGGAGTTTAAGATTTTAAAAGCCTCATTTTAACACTCAGAGCACATCCACCCCAGTTCTGTGCAAAAGCAGTCCTCGGTTGCCTTTTATAACAGCAACAATTCCCAAATTGTTATTCACTTGGTGTCAGCATGTCAACAGCTTGTTGTTGGATAGCATCCAGCTTGTTGGTTCTTGCTTTTGTGTGATTGAAATCCCCCATATTGTGAACCTCTCTCTGGGCTAAGCTCTAGAAAAGGAATTTTTCAATACAGTCTGCATGTGACACATCATATGCACTAGAGCAGAGTAAGCAGCATCAAGTATAAACTGCTGATCAACATGCATCTGAGTTTTAATATGTATTATAAATATGTTTTATGAAAAGGCACCTTGGAAAACCCATGCACTAAGGAACTACAGTGTGTGCTCCATTTTTCTGCTGAATTGTTTTTGTTATAAAAGCTAAATAAGCAGGTAAATAAAAGGTAAAACTCTAAATAATTTCCATTTTGACCTTTGTCATGATAATTTTTTTTTTGTCATAAAAACTAAATAAGCAGGTAAATAAAAGGTAAACCTCTAAATAATTACCATTTTGAACTTTTTTAATGCTGTATCAAAAAAAAATCTAAAATGAGGTTAATGTGAAGGATGAGAAAATGTTGAAGATTATCAATTTAAATTACCCTTGTTCAAAATACTTGGATACAATGTTTAAATATATAATTTTATTATCTATCTGTCCATAATTTCTGGGGTTGTTTTTGTTTTTTTAGAAATAGGATTGTGAGAAAGTGGGGAAAACATGCAATATTTCATCGGGCAAGACTACAAATCTGTTACAGTAGCACTTAAGACTAAGGCCTATGGGTTGCAGGCTTAACCCCTGAATTCCCGCGTCACCCCAGCTCCATTTTCTGAAACCTTATTATCAATTCCGCTGAAAGTCCTGGTTTAAGCAAACAAAAGTCTTTAGATATGCGCTGTAAAACAGTTGAAAGATTAACGATACAACAAACAAAGTAAAACCGATAAAATACAAAAGTTAAGCAAAAAAGAAAATATATTGAAATCCAAACCTAATATAAAATATCCAACTAACAGATTTAAGACAATGGAGAAAAGGTTGCTAAAAAAAAAAAATAAAAAAAATAAAAAAAACTGGTATAGACCAGGAGAAAATATTAAAAATATCCAAGATCATCATAAAAAAACACAGAAGCAGAAGAAACATTTTTCATCCCATTGGAGCTTTTTTTTTTACTTGTGTTTTTGTGCTTGTGTAAAGAACAGGTCCTTTTGATAGGGGGTTCAAAAGGTGTTTAACTTCATAGGTGATGAACAGGGTATCGAATACAATCAAAACAGACTCCCAATAAGGACAGATCACCATAAGGTGAATTCTGTGCAAGATACCCAGCTAGGTTGCTTTTACAGTTATCAGATTCCTATCCTAAGAGAGTTGGCTGCTCTAGAAACTTGGTTATGGTCTATTGCACATTCTGGTCAAAATTTACTCAAGTATATTTTATTGTCAGATAATATCAAACAAGGGAAGAGGTTTCTGGATATATTTAGGAGCTAAAATGACAATCTGTCATGATCTTGGCACTGATGACTGTCTTAATTACTCATTCCATTCACCTGTCTAACTCTGCCCAGTTTCTAATCACTGCTCATCTGATCCACCTGCCTCTGTTTAAGGTGCTTGCTCCCAGTCTTCCGGGCCAGATTATTCTTGAGCCTTTGGTGGGAGACTTTTCTAGTTTTACCTGTAGTGTTCTGCTTGCCTGATCCTGAACCGTTTCTGTCTTTTTAGGTTGCTTGCCCCTCTTCTGATCTGTTTGCCTGACCTGTCTTCAGATTCTGTTGGATTCTATGTTGGACTGAACCTGGATCTGCCTCTTTACTTCGCCTTCTGGATTATCCTGCCTTCCTCCGTTGTCTGCTTGGATCTGATCTCCCTTCAGTTTTGTGTCTTGTCAGCTGACCGGCTGGTATCAAACTCGTTCACTGGGCACTGAACTCTAAACAAGGTAAGTGACTCACCCCTCCAGATCATCCTCTGTCAGATTTTCTTGGTAGCTAAACCATGTTTCCTCTCGCTAGAGTTACCTGCCTCATATGCTGCACAGCCCAAAAACTGTTTGTTGTTGCTTTAAAAAAAGCTTTTTAAGTTATCCCACTGTCTGACTTACTGGGTCCCTCTCTTCTGAGTCATTACATAATATTTGTCTTGATTAAGTTCTTCTTAAAAATGAAAAGCTATTTTTCACGCTATGTTTTTCATCTGCTATAAATATCTACATTCCTACCCGTATGTTTCTTTTGATCTAAAGCTAGGAATCATATGCATAGCAGTTAAAATCAATGCAATGTTTCCTGATATATGTCAGAGAAGTATATAGAATAAGCACAGGGCTTATCCCAGCTCAGAACCTTTTCGAGAACTTAACTACCTCTAGAAGGAGTGCTTGACATGTTTTCAACCACAAAATAATTGATTCTGGTAGACAATTAAAACACTTTTCAGTAGATTTTATTGGTTTTGCTCTGTTGTATCGCACTATTAACAAGAGATTGCTACAACCTCAAATCACACACAGGAATTGTATTGTTGGTTTAAAAAATGCTATGAAAACCTCAAGCAAAAGCTGTGATTATACTAATATGCAATACATTGGACCAAATCTCCATAGTCATTTGCCAGTTCTATGAAAACAATGCATTTAAACTTTGAAACCAGTTCATTTATTGTCCGTATCACAAATTAAGAGGTAAATTGTACAGTAAGATCGGAATTTAAAGAAAAAATTAACAAAAGCCACAGATCACAGATTCAGGCTCCTCCTTCTTGCCTTTCCACTTGTCATTAAATCAAAACAATCAGCTGAATAACAACAGTTAGGGTTAGGTCTCTTTGATGCGTCTGACTGACTTGAATCGGATGTTGTTGCTGATTTCTCTGAGGTTCTTGTACTCCCCTGGCTTCAGGTACAGCATCCTACCCTCAAAGTTGGGCATCTCAAACATTAGCCAGTAGCCCTCCATCACATTGCACGACTGCAGGTCTGACATGCTGTAATTTTCCTGAATGGAGTCACAGTCATCAGTGAGCTCGTGCATCCGGCCTTCAAAATTAGCTTTTTCGTAGATCTGCATTTTGAAAGGTCCGGTGTGCTGTGAAGAGTAGTAGCCATCTCTTATTAGTAATAGCTAGAATTCACAGCTGTTTCTACTTTTCAAAATGTCCTAATATCAATTTGATTAAGATGAAAGTAGTATTTACCTGAGGGACGATTCGGCAGGACTGAATGCAGTCACTAAACCCAATTGTTTCCTGATACTCGGGGTATTCCCCTTTGGTGAGGAGGTACTGCAGTCCACTGAAGTTGGGTTGCTCATAGACCATAAAAATCCCACTCTCCACCTTGCAGGAGCTGCATTGCCTCAGGTGAGACGTGATTTCTGAGCAATCGCCGACGCACTCATATGAGCGTCCCTTAAAGTTCCTCTCCTCGTAGAAAATAATCTGAGGAGAAAGATATGAAGCTGAGTTTTCCGGTCATAGAAAATACTTACATCTTTGATTTAAAGTAGAATCAGAGGTGAGCTTTTAGGAGAGTGTGGTGCAGTCAGTATAATCTGCACCCTACATTACCTTTCCACTCATGATTTCTGTTGTTTTTCCTTTTGGCGAACTGCCTTTTATGCATCATGTGACATCGAAAGAATTTGGCTCTCGATTGTACTCAATAACTGAGTCAGCTCATCATGGAAATCCCGCTATGCTGTAGAGCAAAGCTGTGGACGCTGCAGGCTTTCTGATTAAACTTTATGGAGGCATTGCAAAGTGAAATTCTTTCAAGTTTACATTTTTCTTTGGAAAAATATTTTTTTGTTATGTTTATTGAGAAAAAATAATACAGGATGAAGTATGTGCTCCCTTATGGCGTTTCTTCTCTTTCGGCTTTTTTGTCTCAGATAATGAAACATAACATCAAATAATGTAAAAATTATCCTTGCAAATAAAAATAAAATCAAATGGGTAGCACTGCTGCCTTGCAGCAAGAAGGTTCCAGGTTTGATTCCCAGCTCGGGGTCTTTCTTCATGGAGTTTGCATGTTCTCCCTGTCGATGCATGGGTTCTCTCCAGGTACTCCGGCTTTCTCCCACAGTCCAAAATCCATTGGGTTCTCTAAATTCTCCTTAGGTGTGAGTGTGTGCTTGAATGATAGTTTATCCTGTTTGTTCCTGTCTTGCACTGCAATAAACTGCCGACCTGTCCAGAGTGTACACCGCCTCTCGCCCATTGACTGCTGGAGATAGACACCAGCACCCCTCGCAACACCAGCAGGGGTAAACATGACGGAAAAATGGATGGATGGATTTCTCTTCTTAGAAAATTCTAAATGTGTATAATGTAAGAGAAATGACGCTTCCTCTTGTTAACTGATACATTTCTCTTTAAATAACCACAGCTAGAGCATAACAGGAATTCCCATCTATACCAAATTTAAGATTAGAGATATATCAAGCCATCTACATCTTTTGGACTTTGAGACCCAAGTAGGAGCCTAATAACTGCTAGATCTACAGAATAAAGCAATAATTCAAATAGAACCCATATGACGACTAAATATTACAGTAGGCGCAAAATATTACAGTATATTCTGATTTAAGGAAAGTGAAGCCAACCAAAATTACTCCAATGCAGTATTAAAAGTTTGTCCACGAGGTCACAAAAATCAAGAACAGTTACACGGTCACAACCTTAAAGGTGTAGTGGAGGATTTTTGCAATTTTTTTTACAAGACCCACCCTCTCCCAAGAGTGAATGCTTATTAAACAAGCCCATTTGTCCTCGTGCACGCTTTGTTTAAAAGTAATCTTCATTATGCAATCTTCATTTCCAAAAATAAATTTGTAATTTTTCCACTCTGTCAGACTCCGGTAAGTGAAAATGCAGACAAGCACGTAGGACAGCCTTACGTAAACATATCACCAGAATGATTGACAATTAGGAGGACCACTTATTTTAATGATACCATCGGAAAAAGAACATCCTCTTCTATACCTTTAAGTAAGAGAGTGAGCAAAAATTACTTTTATAGCAACGTTCCCAGGCCAAAACCACTGGAGACCCAAACCAACAAAAAGACCCCAGCTCCAATTTGCCAAAGAAACATCCGGATGATGATCATTGTACCTCTGACCACCTTGACACCTGACTGGACACCTCAGTTTCAAACTTAGGTGATTTAATGTACAACAGGAAAGCATTAACCCTCCTACGTGACTCAAGCTAATGTTAACTATATGAACATTAGCTACTTACAACGAAACAAACAAAAACTTCTAGCACAAGAATGTCGCTTTCCAAAGATTCCAAACACACCAGCAAATCTCTCTCTAAGGTTTTTGAGTAAAGAAGTACATGTCTGAACTTACAACACTTGTTGGTTTTAGCTCCCACTAACAGTGGATCTTAATTTTTTTAATCTAAGACTTATTTGAAAAGAATGCAAAAAAAAATAAAATAAAAACAATATTAATCAGTTTAAAGCCACCATACCATGCATTTGCATAATTTTCTTTGCTGTCGTACAGTATATGCCAACATAATAGGAAAAATGGGGCTTTAGAAGTGGAAAAAGTGGTTTGGCCACTTCTGATACACAACTGTATTGTTCCTGTGGAAAGGGATCAAATGGAATTGATAATGTTCAAACACATCAGGGCAAGGTAGGTAACCTTTTTCTGCCATTTCTAATATTAAACTACCAGCCTGTGGGTTTGTTATTGTTGGTCTATGTAGGCCCCCAAATAGTCACATTAGTCAAATGCAAAATAAACATGGCGCTACTTTTCATTTTAAAACATTGTGCACATCAAGCTAACTGAAGCGCCTGGATTCCACCCTTTCTGTACTGTTTTATTCCATTTAAGTTTCCTTTATGAGTTTTCAATTACACTTTTGATTTTTGGCATTCTGGTTTTTCTAGGTCATTGGTTTCATTTCCTTTTTGTGTCATTCTAGTTGTTTTCTGGTTATATTTGAGTTCTTGTGTATTTCTTGTTTACTCTCTGTTGCCCCCTAGTGCTAGTCTCCATTCCTCTAGCTTCCTTCTAGATCAGGGGTATCAAACTGGTTCCAGAAAGGGCCGTGTGGCTGCAGGTTTTCTTTCCAATCAAGCAATAGCACACCAGACTCCATTCATCTCATCAAGTGAGTCCAATCTGAACATGACGACATTATGAAATGACTGGAGTCTGGTGTGCTATTGCTTGGTTGAAAATTAAACCTGCAGCCACTCGGCCCTTTCTGAAACCAGTTTGACACCCCTGTTCTAGATCCTTCTGTCCACACCTGCTCCCAATTAGTTAATTACCCCATTCTTTTTTTCGGTTTGGCATATATATACTCATTCTCTGCAGTACTATTTGCTGGATTCTCTTTATTCCATCCTTATTCCATTACACTTTGATTTTTGGCATTCTGTTTTTTCTAGGTCATTGGTTTCATTTCCATTTTGTGTCATTCTAGTTGTTTTCTGGTTATAT